TTATTGCGAAATAGGAGCACTATTTATCAATCTGTAATAAAAGACGTGAGGAAATTCTGTCTTTTTTTTAAGACAAAAATTTTTGAGGCGAAATACCCAACAAGACGTTTGTAAGAAAATGAATCCGCCTCAACAATATAGAACTTATCCGCATATTTTATGTTGGGTTTAATTGAAGATTGAATATTAAGTTCGTTTTGCCATTACTCATGGGAACCGACAGGAATGGGCCCTGCAAAAACGGCCATTTTACCACCTGACGATTTACAGTGTCATAATTAGGAAACGGCCTTAATATCAGTTTTTACAATCTGGACGATAATTTATATGTACCATCGGAAGGCACGCGAGACAGTCCCGAAATTTATTAATTTCCTTTCGGGTCTAAATGTGCCTGGCGATGGCTGCATTATTGTAATATTCAAACGAGCTTTCGGCCCAAAGAATGACTTATTTTCAACCGAGTCGCTAAAAAACTTTAAACTAGCTATTAATGAGTAAAATAGCCAGAAACATGTTGGGTTTCTATAACAATGGGAAGGAATCAAGTAGCAATTAAGCGATAAGATGGAAAACTTGGTCAAAAGCGAGAAAGAATGGCAGGTTTAGACCTAAAATCAGTGGAAAACTTGGTTCCAACGTTTCGCTAGCCCGCATCTTTAACCCACGACATCTTCCTTAATGTACCCACTCTCTATAAGAATTTTAGCCACGCATTGAGCTCAAGAAACACACATGCAGATCAAGACGTTTTCTTATGTTCCTCTAAAAATTCAATCACCTGCTTCGATTTCTGTTGCTCACAACAATTAAACTTAAACTTAAACTTAATAACGCATTGAACCCCATTCAATAACCAAACTGATGAACAATTCGGATTCATTTATAATACATTCTTACGTAAAAACACTGGTTTTAATGATGATTACACGCGTGTGGTGGTTTGCAGTTATTCAGGCCATGTCAAATTGCATATATGCCTAATTATTCACGTTGTTAACAAAACCAACAAAAATAATGAATCTGAAGTGAAAATTGGATTTCATTAAAACACTGAATACCTTAATTAAAAAAAAGAAAGCTTGCTAATACGAAAATTACAACTGCCTTAAAAACATATGTAATCTTTTGTTTCGAGCGGTTGATTGTTGTAAAACGCACTTTGGCCGGCAAATTAGTAGATATGGGAAATTGTAATTTTGCCCTTTTTGCAACCCCGAATAATCTATGGCCCACCTGCAGGGTTTCTCAACCAAATTGAAACCTTTGCCCTAAACCAAATTAAAACATTTTTCATCAGGCGCGTGCGGGTGCGTAATAAATTTCTTTTTTTTGGGGGGTCGTTAAAGTGAAAATTTTACAAATTTGCCCAGAACCAACAGATTAAAGTGCGGCCGAGCGTCGCATCTGCATTTCGAGGAAACATTTCAAAACCGCTCACCATGATGGACCCGCTAATAAATAGTTGTTTTGTCTACTCATTAACTGATTAAAACAAGAACCAATTAAGGTCCTAATTAATTTAATGAAGTCGTGCAATCGTTGCTATTAGGGTTAAACAGAGGCTGGTTATTTTCAGAATTCGGCACAAGGTTAGCCCCGTTTCTACTGGGGATAATAGCCTTAGTTGTGAAATGGGCCGGCGTTACTTAATCCGCTGTTCCAATTGATGAAAATTAGTAGAAATCATGCAGTTTGGTAAATTATCCATTGTATCAAGCCGCGTAAGGCATAGAGAAAGTTTTAGTTTGCCCGGCCGCAAGGACATTAGCTCTAGCGTTAGCTCGGAAGCTTCAAGAAGTAAATATTGAGGAAGAAGGCAGAATTTCAAGCGCAAAATAAGCAAAAGCAATTTAACCAACTATTCAGGTTAGAGAAATTATGAAATTGCATACATCTAGCAATTACGCCAATTAAAAAATCGCCTTTGCCGACAAATCCCAGAAATTCTTACGTTTCGCATAGATGTTGCATAAAAATCACAACGTGAAACACCTAAAGTGTTTCATTCGATCTTTCATCTGTCGATGGTTGCGAAACAAATAAACATTGCACAAACGGTTCTGGAGCTCGCATGCTACTAATATTCATGTATCTATGTCATGCTGTTTTTAATCTGCTGAAGCCAAATGAAAATATTCTACTCAAATCCATGAATATACAATACGCTTATGATTTATGCGTTTCTTATGTAACATGGTTCATTGGACACCTTAAGGTTCGAGTATCAAGGAGAAGCTATAAACTTGGATTTTTCACTGTACTTCAACAAGTTCCACTGATTTTATGGAGAACTAAATGATTTTCGAATTTTTATCGACAATTCATCCATTATTTGTATAATCATCAGCGGCAGATGCGCGCAGTTTTGCAACCAAAAATCTGGAATTACGAGGACTGATTGCTATTAAATAACTGCCAACAAGCGCCAAGAGAAATTTCAGCAACTTCTTCAATATTTAGCCATCAATCGTCCGTTCGGGTTACCAGAAAATAATCGGTGAAAGGAAACGGTCCCAACATGTGACAAATAGCGCAAAAAAGCGCCATTTAACTGCGATTGATCACTAAAGCCCCAACTTTGACTGAAGTTCAACAATTTACTCATCAGATCCCTGCAAAAATCAGTGAGAAAATAGCTCAATTTCCCTAATCTCTTGCATCATCAATGGTGTTTTTCGCTATTCAAAAAAAGCAGGTGCGTGCGTAACCGCATTTTTTTCTACCTGAAAGCATGCCGATTTGGATCGAGATAAACTGCCGGACATTAGTTTGATCTGTCTGGATGATTTTGGCAATGGTCGTTGTCATGACTGATCGTTAACTCCTCATTTATCGCAGCGACAAATCTTGTTCAAGATGCGTTTAACTGTTCCAAGAGATGGTTAAAGTTCACCTGAAATGTTCGTTTTTTGATTGGTTTGTTTGCCCAGGTCACAGGCCGCAAAATATTTGGGACTAGAGAATTGCTTGATGGGCTATTTGGCCCAAAAAGGCTTGAATTCAAGAAGTTTTAGATTTGCGTGGTTTTTTTTTGAGTTGCAAAATCCACTTGAACATGACGCTGCTTTTTTCGAAGTTTC